GAGCTTTCGATGATGCACAAGAAGCTCTGGTACCTTTACTGTCAGATTGGGATTTAGATGCTGCAGTGATAAGGTAAATTTATTCAGTATTATTCAAAAGAAAGTTATTTTTTTATTCTAAATTTGAATATAAATAATTATTAAGTTATATGTCTACCCTTATAATGTTTTTTAAATCATTAGTGCATCTGATCCCTACTTGGTACTTCAAGTTGAAATAAAACCTAATGAAGAAAAAGGAGAAAATTGGTCTTCTGTTGAAACTACTAGTGATGAAATCCCTCAGAAAGATGTTTTTGGTACAATAGAAATACCTAGAAATCAAATTACTGAAACTAAAATTCAAAACCGTTTGCCTGGTTTAATTATGAATAGAATGGAAAAAACATTAAATATATTCCAACGTGCATTTAATTTAGGAGAAGATCAAATTTCTAGTTCTAATGCTCAACAATCTAGACCGCCATTAAGTGATGCCGAATTTAGAAAATATTTAGATTCAATGGGAAAAATAAATCAAATGAAAGAACTTAGATTAGCAATTTACTATGGTGGAGTAGAACCTGGATTAAGGTACAAACAATTACTTTTTTCAATAGTTTTTTTTTTGTATCTTTATTCGAAAAATATTTTAAAATGAATAATTAATTAACATATATTTTAACGATATTTTATGTTTTTTTTTTTTATTTTTGACATTTTAGAAAAGTTGTTTGGAAGCATATCTTAAATGTTTATCCTATTGGTATGTCTGGAAAGGAAAGAATTAATTACATAAAAAATAAATCTCGCGAATATGAAATTTTAAAAGAAACTTGGCGCGAGATGATTCAAGAAGAACAAGTGAATGAAGAATTAGCTTATGTTACAAGTATGGTTCGAAAAGATGTTTTAAGAACTGATAGACATCATAAATTTTATGCCGGAAGTGATGACAACCAAAATATTGCCTCTCTTTTTAACATTTTAACAACGTAAGTTTTTAAAAAAAAAAAAAAAAAATGCCATTTTAGTACTTTTGAATTAAAATTTTCATTTTGTCATTAGATAAAAAATTTAAAAATTAAAAATTTCAGATATGCTTTAAATCATCCATCTGTAAGTTATTGTCAGGGTATGAGTGATCTTGCGTCTCCTTTGTTAGTTACAATGGGCGATGAATCTCATGCTTATATATGCTTTTGTGCTCTTATGTCACGTGTTAAGCCAAATTTCATGTTAGACGGAATTACTATGACACTAAAATTTCAGCATTTGACAGAAGGATTAATCTATTACGATCCTGATTTTTATGCCTATTTAAAATTGCATCAAGCTGAAGATTTGTTATTTTGTTATCGTTGGCTTTTATTGGAAATGAAAAGAGAATTCGCCTTTGATGATGCCTTGCACATGTTAGAAGTACTGTGGAGTTCACTTCCAGCCACACCGCCAGAAAAGGAGCTTCCGCTTTATGATGTTAAATTTACGGCGTATATATCAGGACTCACACCACCGCTTTTTAGTCCTTTATCAAAACCCCAAAGAGAAAATCCTTATACCAAAGTATGTGCGTTGCGAAGACAAAGCTCAGCGTTGTCATTAAATTCAAGGAAAACTTTACCGAATTCTCAGAGACAAAATCAAAGTTTAGATGAAACAATATTTGCCCGTCAAAATCAACTTAGAAGGCAAAGAAAGGTAAAACCATTTTCTAGTTTAGATGATAATTGTGTTCAGTTACTCAACACGATATCGACAAGCACTTCTAGATCAATTTCTCCCATGAATGTTCATTCTGAATCCGATGTGCTTAGTTTAATGAAAAAACGCGTGAGTACTATGAAATTGACCACCAGAAACGGTGGCTTGTCCTCCAGTACTGGAAATTTAGTAGAAACTAGCAATAAAAGAAATTTATCCAAAAGATTAGCGGAAGATAAAAGTTTTAATTCACTCTCCGAGACCGGTCATGATGAAAATGAATCATCAAAAACAAACAAAGTGCAAAAAGGTCGAGTAGTTAAAAATTTAAATGAATTTTTAAATTTTACTACTTACAACAAATCAAGAGTTATTGGCAATCGCCTTAATCAATCTCAATGCAGAAGTATTTCTGAGGGTGCTGTTAATTTAGGACCGGAAATCACTTTGACCAAGTCTAAATTTGACGAGGTCGGATCAGATGCCGTTCAATCTGATATGGAAAATATATCAGAGATTCAAACTTCAACCAGTCCGTCGTACACGTCTTCTACGAGTCCACATACGTTTGAGAATCACGGGAGCGAAGACATGTCTCCTGATGATTTAGATGATTATTATCCTATGACAACTTCCGTGACTAAAGAATTAGCATTAGAACTTCAAAATTTAGATAGGCAAGTATTTGGGAAAAAATTTGATTCAAAAACTCATGTACCCGCGCCAAAAAAAAGTCCGAAAAATGAAGTTAAAACCATGCTCGAGGCTGGCGATCATCAGGGTACCAAACTTGAACCGGAAGTTTTCGTTTGGGAAAATCCTTTAAAATGTGTTCCTACGCCAGATGAGCAAGCAGAATTGGATTATGATGGCAGTTCACCGTCGGTGAGAGCTGCCGAAGGTCATTTAACAAATTCCGAAACGGAAAAACCGTTGGAAAATAAAAGAAACGGTTGGAATAGTTTTGATAAGGTTGAAAGTAATAATCAAAATAAACTTCCAACCACGGGTCAAGAAGCGGCCGAAGTGTCTAGCTTATTAACGAGGGGTGCGAATTCAATAAAGGTTTCGGGCATATTAAACACTTTGAGATCTGGAGCGAACGTGAGTCAGATTCTCCGTTCTCCGAACAGACCTCAATCCACTAACATATTGCCTAAACCCGAAGAATTCGGCGATGGAAATCCATTTTTAATGTTTCTTTGTTTAACGTTATTACGACAACATAGAGATTATATTATTAGAAACGGATTAGATTATAATGAAATGGCGATGCATTTTGATAAGATGGTACGTAAGCATAACGTGACCAAAGTATTAGACGAAGCGAGACAATTGTTCGCATCTTATTTAAAGCAACATTCCCTTCAAGACTTGGACAGTTCAAAACAATTCGTCCGGACTTAATAAAAAAAATTAGATAATGTTATCGTAGGTAAATAATTTGAGTAAGTTAGAGAGGTTTTTCATTTATACATTTTAAACAAATCGCTCAAAAGTTTTTTTTTTTTTTGTAATTATTCCAATCGTTTTGCTTTTGCCCTTTAATATCTGTGAAGCGTAATTTACTTATGTACATACATACATATAAACTTTCATTTTTCTGTTGATCTCTTGATTCTTTTTCTTAAAAGAAAATTTTTTTCTCTCAGATAGTAAAACCAAAAACGAATGAATATTTTTGATTGTACGGTTGGTTCTCTTACTTAAAAATTAACAAAACCGGATGCTCAATTAATTTTAATAATTTGATAATTATTTAAATCCGGATTTAAAAAAAAAAAAAAAAAATCAATTTTATTGATTGGTAATTTATATTTAAAAAAAATTTTGAAAATTTTAATTCTTTAAAAAATTATTCAAACTGTACATAATAATTATTGAACTATAAATTAATTATTACAATTATTGTTATTATTATTATTATTATTAATGAGGTTATTCAATTTATTATTCAAAAATAATTTAAAAATCATTTTTCAAGACGTACATTCTTTTTTGAAGGACTTTAAAAAAAATTTAAATAAGAGTAATTGTATTTATTTTATTCCATTAAAATTTTTATAAATTATTATAAAAAAAGAAGGAAAGTAATTTTACTTGCAATAAAAGGTGTTAAGCGATGTCGTTAATATTTATTTTTTTGATATATTTAAATGTTTAAAACATTTATTTAATATTTTTTTTTCCTTTTTTTTTTTTAAATTGTTGCAGATCAATTAAACAGTATCATTTTAATCAATTTTTTTTTCACTTTTTTTTTTTATTGTTTTCGGATGTGTCTTGACAATAATTTATATTTAGTATTATTATTTAAATAATTTTTGTATTTTTAAAAAATTTATGTAAATCAATAATAAAAACTTGCGGTAAAAAAAAAAAAAAAAAATTCCATCGATAGAGTGAAATTTCATAATTTTTTGTCTAGTCAATTGTGATTATTATTTTTATTTTATTTTATTTTAGAACAATAATTTTGTTATAAGTGATAATTTTCAAATGAAATTTAAAAAAAAAAAAAAAAGTTTTTAAAAAATGTTTTTTTTTTTTAGCATTTATTGTATTTTAAATGAAATTTTATAAAATAATTAATTTTTTTTTTTGCACTGTTCCTAAAATTAATATAATTGCAGCAAATAATTAATTATTATTCACTATGGCAATTTTTTTTATTTAGAATAAATTATATTTATGTTCGTTATTAAATACTTTTTTTTTTTTTATTTAGTCTGACATATTATAATTTTAAATTTTACATATAATTGTGTATATATTTTAAATATAAATATATACAAAAAAAAAATTTTAGGTATTAACTGTAAGATTTTTTGTAACAGTAAAAGTTACATACTATTGTAAATTTAAAAAAAAAAAAAAATCAAAAATTTAGTTATGGAATTGTTTTGTTATTAAAAAAATTTGTAATATAAATGAAATTATAAATATATAAAATAAAGTTCATTTTATAATTGGATAATAAATTATTTTTATCTTATTAAATTAAATTAAATTAATTTTTTTTTTTTTTGTTCACATGGTTCAAATAATTTAAAATTGTAAAATATTTTCTGTATTTTTAATAAAAAAAGTATTAATCGATTTTATAAGCTAAAAATAAAATTAAATATTTTATTTAATTCAAGATTATTATGTGTAGGTAGAAAATGTCAATTGTGTATTTATATTTTTAAAAAATTTATTTATAAAATGTTTAGTAATAATAATAGAAGGTAATAAATTGAAAAGTTTTGTTTTAAAATAAAACAGTGTCGCCAACTTAAAAACGGTAATTTGTGGATATTATTGATAGTAAGTCACGTGATCAGTAGCCATGATGTTTCTGTGTATTTCCTCCATCTGTCAGAAGTAATTTATATTTATTTATCATAAATCTGTAAATGATGTTTAATAACTTTTTATGACATAATGTAACTATAATTATACAAATTAATGGAAATGGATTCTAAGTATATATCGACTGCGTTTGTTAAAAAAACTAATATCAATAATAGGCCGAAGCACATTATATTTAACGGACCGATTCCTCAAAAACTAGCAAAATTAGATGTTAAATGCCAATCACCCTCAGCAAAATCAAGTCCGACTAATTCTAAAAGTATATTAGAGCAAAGGCAGGGTCTTCCAGTTTACAATGCACGACAAAGGTGAATATTTTTTATTTTTATTTTTTATTTTATTTTAAATGTGACTGCTGCATCAACAAGCATGGCGCGCTTATTATTGTTTTGATCGGTGACGTTATTGATAATATTGGAAAATTATTTACTTATTATTACGTCTAATTCGCTTATCAATCAATAATAATATTTTTTTAAAAAATATATTTTATTTTTTATTATCTAAATATTGAATTTTCATTTTTAGGTTAATCAATCTGATAGAAAAACATGAAATATTAATTATTATTGGCGAAACTGGTTGTGGTAAAACAACTCAAATACCTCAGTTTATTTTTGAGGAAAGAATAAATGGGTCTAAAATGATTGGTGTTACCCAGCCTAGAAGAGTAGCTGCCACTACTTTATCTGCCAGAGTAGCAGAAGAAATGAACACAGTTTTAGGAGAAACTGTCGGTTATTCAATTAGATTTGAAGATTTGACTTCTCACAATACGAAAATAAAATTTTTAACCGATGGAATGTTGTTAAGAGAAGCTATTTTAGATGATAAACTGATGCAGTATAATTTTATAATATTAGATGAAGCTCATGAGAGAACAATTCATACTGATGTATTATTTGGTATAATTAAAAAAGCTCATAAAACGAGAAAAGAAAGAGGATTACCTATTTTAAAGGTTTAGTTTTTGTCGATTTCTAAAAAAAAAATTTTACTTTTTTTTTCTCATTATAATGAATCAATAATATTTTCTTTATTTTGTTTACTTCAGGTTATAATTATGTCAGCTACAATGGATGTAGACCATTTTAGTTCATATTTTGGTGATGTTCCTGTTGTATATTTAGAAGGAAGACAATATTCAGTAGAAGTATTACATGCAGTTCAATCCCAAGACGATTATTTATTTAGCTCTTTAGTTACAGTTTTTCAAATTCATCAAGAAGCTCCACCCAAGTAAGTTTACATATTAACCTTAATTTTAATATCCAAATATACAGTCGGTATAATAAATTTTTTTTATTTTTAGTGAAGATATTTTAGTATTTTTAACCGGCCAAGAAGAAATAGAAAGTTTTGCTTTTAAAGTCAAGTCAATAGTTAAGGATTTAGAAAATATGACACCGCCATTGAAAGTGTTGCCATTATATTCCTCTCTTCCTAGCTTACAGTTAGCTGAAGCTTTCAAACCTACACCACATGGTTTAAGAAAAATAGTTATTAGTACAAATATAGCTGAAACATCAGTTACAATACCTGGCATTAAATATGTCATTGATTCAGGAAAAGTAAAGGCTAAAATGTTTAATCCAATCACAGGATTGGATATGCTTCAAGTTCGTACAATATCTCAAGCTCAAGCGTGGCAAAGAAGTGGTCGTGCGGGAAGAGATTCAAGCGGTCATTGCTACAGAATATTTACAAAAGATGAATTTGATAAGTTTGATAAAAATTCTCAACCGGAGATACTAAGGTGTAATTTAGCTAGTGTTTCATTACAATTACTTACTCTAGGAATAAATATTTTAAATTTTGATTTTATGGACAAACCTCCAAAAGAGGTAAATTTCAACTCGACTTTCTTAAATTAAAATTTTAAAAAAATTACATTGATTAATTTTATTTAAAAAAAAAAAAAATTTTTTTTTGACAGTCTTTAAAATCGGCATTGACAGAATTAAAATTGTTAGGAGCAATTGACTGTGTGGAAAAACCTCAATTAACAAAATTAGGAAAACAAATGGCTCAATTTCCCATTGATCCTCGTTATAGTAAAATTCTTTTATCGGCAATTGATTACGGTTGCTTGTAAGTTGGCAAAAATACTCAATTCATTTACAACATTAATATTTATTGTTGCACTTAATTTTATAACAATCAAGATTTTTTTTTTTTTTTGTTGTTTTTATTCAGAGATGAAATCATTACCATTATTGCTTTGTTATCCGGAGAATCTGTTTTAATTCATTCGCTCACGAAAAGGGACGAAGCAAAAGAAGCGCATAAAAAATTTTTATCTTCTTCTGGGGACCACATAACTCTTTTAAACGTTTTTAGAAATTTTAAAAAAATGTCACAGCAAAAGGTAAATATTATTTATTATGTTCATCTTAAAAAATTTCTTTTCTTTTTTTTTTTTTTTTAAAAAATCCATTAAAAAATTTATCAAATAATAATAATAATAAACAACTGTTTATCGTTTTCAGCAATGGTGTCATGAAAATTTTCTACATTTTAGAAATTTAGTTTACGCGTCAAACGTTCGTAAACAATTAGTTGAAATTTGCAAAAGAAACGACATAACGATAACATCGTGTAATTCAAATATTGATCAAATTCGTAAATGTTTGGTGACTGGATTGTTCATGAACGTCGCCGAATTGCAGTTGGATAAAAAATACATGATGGTAAATATTTAAATAATTAATAATTTTCGTCTGCTAACGAGGAAGTTTATCGTTTATCGCGTAACTTTATTTTACGTTTCATGTCAGCTGTCGACGAGACAAATGGTATCAATTCATCCAACATCCGTACTGGGCGGTACTTTGCCACATTGTGTTCTATTTTCAGAAGTCGTACACACAACAAAATGTTACATAAGACAACTTACAGTAATCGATCCGGATTGGTTAACCGAAACGATGCCGGAATATTTTAGACAACACAGATTGACAATCTCTAGGTAGTCAATTTTATATTTCATAGTAAATTTTTTTTTTTTTTTAAATAAAAAACCAATGGAAACCCAATCAATAACGAAAAGAGGGGGGGAAAAAAAAAAAAAAAAAAAAAAAAAAACTTGTTAACATAAAAATGGAAAAAAAAATTTAATATTATTTATTTATAACTACAACAATAATTAATTACATTTGTTAATATTTATATCATATTATTATTTTTTTTTTGTATATATTAGTAGTTTTATATATACAATAATTACGATAATATTTTGAAACAAACAACATTTTATGAATAGGAGTAGCATTTAGTTTTTTCTTTTTTTTATATTTTATTATTAAATTATTTTTTAAGATTACCTAACATTATATATTTATATATTTATTGTAAAAAAAATTTTTGGCCTATTATTGAAATGGTTTACAAAAAAAAACAAGTTTTTTTTTTTTTTCCCCACCCCGAAAAAAGGTATCATAACGTCAAAAGGTATGCACACGTCACACCGAAGTAAAAAAATTAAAAATAAATAATTTTTCGTTACGTAAATACTTCGTTTAATAAAATATTATTAAAATAATTTAATTTTATTATTAAAATACTAACGCGGTTTTCGGTATATTAATTTTTTTTTTTTATTTAATTAACAAAAGCGGGGTAGGGGGGGACGAGAGGTTAATGGGTAGGTAGTATATCGGTGATATTCGGGTTTACTAAACTAACCATATTTATTTATTTATTTTATATATGAGAGGAACGAGGACGTACCGCATCGTGATCGAAGAGGGAGGGGAGGGTAGGGAAAAGGGAAGAAAATAATAATAATAATAATAATAACGTATTTAATAACTAAACGAAATAACTTTTTAAAAAAAAAAAGTAAATTTATAATAATACAATATTTTAAAAAATTAAATTGTTGACTCCTTCATCAGCAAAAAATTTATTATTATTATCATTATTAGGTACAATTATTAAATTATTATTTGATTACAAAAAAAAACTAATTATTGTAATTGATAATTATATTTAAAAAAAAGAAACTTATTCTAAATGATTAAATGAAAAATATAAACGAGTCCATAATACATACGATGTGTATAAAACCGTTTGTCAATTAATGTTTATAAATTATTTTAATAAATTCAAGTACAATTATTATTATTATTTTTATTTTTATTTATGTAAATTCGATGGTTAAACGACAGGTTGCTGTTGTTGTCGTCGTTGTTCGGTCAATAATTTAATTAGATTACGAGTATACAAAAAAAAAATAGATATTCGCATTTAATATGGAATTAATAGAAAAAAAATTATTATTATTATTATTACTTCTGGTAGTTTTAATAATTAAGTGATCGTGTGCTGTGGGAATGGGTTTGTTCAGTGTGTTGGGTCTCTATCTCTTCATTTTCTATCAAATCTTTTTCTTTTTTTGTTATCACTAATAACCCGTTGATAAGAAAAAAGAAAAGAAAATATAATCAATCGGTGGGAGCTTCATCAACCCACATCCAAAATTTTTTAACTACATAATTCCAGGTACAATTCGTCAAACGATTTCCGGTTATCAATTCCCGATAATTTAATAAATTATTTTTAAAGCTAGAGTAATAATTATGTATGAAAAATTTTAATTCTTTTATTAATAATTTAATAATAATTTTCAAATAATTCAAATCGAATGATATTTCTTCGTTCACCAAAAAATTTTTTTGCGATCTTTCTTCCGTTGATTTTACGTCATCACGTTTTTCCTCATCTAAAAAAAAATCGTTTTTCGTTATTAATAAACAATAATAATAATAATAGTCGTGATAAAAAATAAATTTAAAATTCAACCTTTTATAAATGAAAATTTTTAACCCCTTTTCTCTCTCTCTCTCTCTTTTTTCACATTCGCGGCGTATTTATTTGTTGTTTCCGGTTTTGGTATAAAAATAATTTGTTCAATTTATTTTTAAAATAAAAAATTTGAGTTAGAGGGGGGAGAGGTGGGGG